GAGCTGGCGAGAGCAGGGGAGGCCAAGAGGCGAGTTAGTCCAGTAAAGGTGCGGTAACGGGCGCTCTCGGGCACCTGCTTGATGTGAAACATCCCAACGGGATGAGGTTCTGAGCAGCAGTTTCTCAGCGCCTTTCGGATGGTCCTGCAGGACAGGCTGCAGCAGGAGAGGCTCCTCTGGGCTGACATCAAGGGGGTCTCCTGCACCTCTGGGGCTCCCCAGTTGCCGCGGGATGAGGGACCGGGTGCTCCCCCCCCTGCTCACGCTGCAGCGGGCCAGGTTTGCTTGGGCACCAACATGCTGGCGCTTCACTGCCTCCTCGAAGAAGAGGGGTTGCTCCTTACTTTGTATTCTGTAGCACATAAGCAACCCAGAAGAAATGCGGCCCTGTCAACACTTTTCTAGTGATATGAGCTTATTTTTTTTTTTCCTGACTCCCCTGCTGCATTATTCACGACCGTAAAATATTCACCAGCCTCCCCTCTCTCCCCTACACTGCAAAACAAACCCCCAAACAATAATTCAAGCCCCCTTCCTTTCCATGTCTTGCAAAAGGCTAGGAAATAAATTTCTTGCCGTGGGTTGTTTTTATAGTGAACTTTTCGGAGCTAGATTTAATCATGGAGGCAAATTTCACACTGCCTTGAAATGGACCCATAAACTTTGCTCAGCATCAAATTCCTCCTTCCCCAGCTTGCGCTTCCAGCTCTGCTCTGCCGTGTCCCCAGCTTCACGGGGCTCCGAGGAGGAAAGCTTCGCCACCAGCCAAACCACATTTACCCTGTTTTTCCACAAGAAAGGCCAAAGCTGTACAGATCATGCTGGCGTTGTACGAGCTCCGCGTTGCCACCAGGAAAGGGTCAAATCCTGCCTGAGTCATCTTCCATCAGGCAGGGAGTCCCCGGCAAGCCGGGGCTTTGCCCTCGGGGGTAGGAGTGGTGCTGGGGAGGTGGGGGGATGCAGTGAGCACCCACTTGACCAGGGTTTTGTTGGCTTTGAGTGCAGGCAAGTCCTTGGGCGCCGCAGTGGGAAGGTGGAAACCCGAATTCCTGCGTGTTTGCCAGCAATTGCACAGTCGGTGCCGGGGGACGCTTCTCCCGTTGTGTTTGATTGCGCAGGAGATGGCCACAAGGCACCACAGCACCTGCTGGCCTGGGCTCAGGGTGCTCTCCTCCTGTCCTGGGAGAAGAGGAAAGGAGCCCACCGAGGGCGGGGGGCCGGGGGGGATTGCTGCAGCAGCTCAGAACTGGGGCAGTAATTTGGGTCTCACGGCAGCCTGCTCCTTTTCCCGGTTCATCCTCTTTCTCCATCAGGACGCTCGTGGGGTTGGTCCTTCCAGCAGGCAGGACCTTTGCCAGAGAGCAGAGCTGCCACCGCCTCACCCCCCTTCCAGAGGGGCGGCTCAAGCGACAGATTTTGCTGGTGTTCAACTTCAGGTGGATGGGGCGGTGCAAAGAGAAGGTCCGAGGCGTGCTTGGAGAGGTGCTAACACCCAGGCAGCAGCGGAGCGGTTCTCGGGGAGGAGGGACACGTCTGACCGATGCAGAGGTGGTGAAATTGGCCTCTGAGCCAGGGACCGGAGGGGAAGAGGCACCTGTAGGACAAGTTTCATCCTCTCCCAAGCTGAGCATAGATGGTGGTGCCCGGATCGCCCCGGGAAGGGGCAGTAGGAAGGAGCCGGCGGTGTGTCGCCATGGGGGGGTGGCTCCTCCTCCATCTCACAGCCCCCAGACGCCCCTTTCCAACCCATGGTGGTCACCTGGCTGCCTTCTCTAGCCACGGGTGCGTGGTTCCTGGGGCTTTCTCCTCTGCATGGCTAACAGCCCTTCTGCAGGGCAGGACCCGGCCAATACATGGGAAAGGGAAGAATCACCATAAGCTCTTTCCCTTTTTAGCAGTTTTAATTTAAAATGACTTATTAGCTGGGAAAACACCCCCCCCCTCCCCTCCGCCTTGAATAAACATACGTTTTAATACATTGCAATGAGCAGAGGGGGAGAGATGGAAGTTTCCATCGACTTTATTTTATTTTTCTAGATTATAAAATATTTAAAATGCATAAATAAAATGCTCCATTGCAAAAATGCTGGCATGTTTTTCCAAAGCAAGGCGGGGAATGGAGCTAAATTGAAATATAACCGTCCAGGGTGATCTCTTAAAGTGAAACCAGTTTCAATGGGATTTAAGTGCCCACAGTCTCCCTGCTTGAATATTTATGTTCTTATGGAGTGTGACACATTCTTTCCCCCCACCCCCCTCCTTTTTTTTTTTTTTTTTTTTTTTTTTTTTTTTTTTTTTTTTTTTTTTTTTTTTTTAATATTGCACGATATAATGAATCAGAGTCTTGTAGCCACCGCAGTGGATTTATGGTGCTACGTATGTGTCATGAATAATGCTGAAGTTTCCTGGTTTTAATTAAATCTGTTCCGTTTATGATACTGCCATGTTGCAAGAGCGTGGCAGGAGGCATTGCCCGCAGGACACACCTCTGAGCCTCTGCTGTCAGTAGACACCGGTCGTGACTCTGCCTCCTCTTTGCAAGTCCTGGCTGGAGCCAGAAATAACAAGACCTCGGCTTTTTGTGCTTCTCTGTCTCACCCCTCCTGTTCTAACACTTCTCAGTCCTAACTCTCAGGCATCTTGTGGCATCCCAAAAGTGGTATTAGATCCCTGTGGGGAGATATTACTGGTTGCAACCACATAAATAGCAAATTTTGTGGCATGGGCACTTATCCACCAGATATTGTAATGATATGACCGCAAGCTCATTGTCACAGTAATGGGATTCAAACCCTCCTGGCTGGAGAGGTCTCATGTAAATGTTCCCCCTGACTGGCTTTTTGGGGAGTCTTGGCCTGACTATCCAGACCATCTGCCTTGCTTGCTGTTGACCTATCCACTGTAGTAACCCAGCCCCTGCAGTTGCAGACTTCTCGGGGGTGAGTGTTTTGGAAACCATCTCCTGTCCAGAACGCAGAAATTGCTCCTCCTGTGGCTGATCCTGCGCTCACCCCACACGGATGCCGTCTCCCAGGCAGTGGCTACTCCTTACTGCTGTGGCCGGGCTGCAGGACTGATGGGTGATCAAGGGCTGCACAAGGGCTGGGGGAATGATGATAATCACAGGGGATGCTCACCGTGTAATTTTCATTCCTGGTGCTTTGCAAATAGGCTTCTGGGACTGCTGCAAAACCTTTCCACAGGTTGTCTCAGCAGCTCGAGTGGCAGGGAAGAGATAAAAACTTGCCCATTTAATAGAGGTGAGAAGGGCATATAGGCAGTGAGAGATCTTGCCTTGCAAGGATTGAAATCAGGTGTCACAGTGCCACCACTCGATCGGTTGTACCGGGAGACTGTCTCTGAACATCGCGACTCGCTGGTGCTCTGAATCTCTCCTTTCTTAAACTTAGACGTAGTAATAAATGTGGCAAACATGTATGCAGCTTGGCAGCAGCCCAGTGTAGTATTAGCAGCACATTGACTGGGTTACGATGTCCAACACTCTAACATCCACATCTCCCGAGAGCGAAAACCTGGGAGATGTGCAGAAAAGATGAACACAGTCACCTGAGAAGTGAGGAACTCACCATGCAGTGAGCTGCTATCAAAGTACTGGCCTCTTTCTTTACGTATTCCTGTTCAGTAAGTAAACTCGGGAGCCACGGGCTACCTGCAGGTGGTAGAGGTGTTTGCTGGTCTTGAGTTGACCAACTGCACAAGACGGCTTCCGACAGACGCGGCAGCAGATCAGAGCAGTGATGGATGCTGGCTCGTCAGGGCTCTGGCTGCTGGCAGAGCTGGGTGAGAGCTGGGCAGAAGGGGAAGGGACGCAGTTGAATTGCCGTAAGTGCTATTCCTCCGTTTTCCCATTAATTAAGAGGAAGGTGAAGTTTGACAGCACCGGCACCCAACACTCGCTGCTCTCTTCACCCTGGAGAGTCCCTCGCATCTAACTCGTGTGAATATGATGCTGTCACTCCAGAAGATCCTATTTGCAAGCTCGTGGTGCCTGTTTGCTAAAATATTGTCAGTAAATTAAGACACAAATTGACAGCAACTCACATTCCAGAAGCATCTTGGGTTTTCCCTGTTCAGGAACTAGCCAGAGCAGGTGCTGTGCTCCTGTGGCTCTGGACCTGCGGAACTGGGGCAGGACACACCAAGAGCGTGGTGTTACAAGACTTCCACCGCGGAGACGTGAGAGGAGCCAGGCTCTGCTCGCTTCTACTAATGAGCCCTTTGTTTTTCTTTGGTTTCTTTGGTGGTGTGATTTTAGGAGCACTTCTGGAGCTTGGACAAAACAGAAAACAAGATCCCACCGCAGCTTATCTTGCAGATCTGGGACAATGACAAGTTCTCTTTTGATGACTATTTGGGTAAGTTGGGAGAGGTTTTTGGCTCCATCCCTGCCGATGCAGACAGGAAAGAAAATTTATTGAATACTTTCAGGATATGAAGAAATTGTAACGAGACCAGTTTAAGCCACTGAACAGGATTCGGTGTCAGCATAAGTTCAGGACTGATGATAAATGGTTTGTATCAGGCAGATTTCCAGTCTCAGCCTGCAGCAGCCTGCTCCTGGGCTGACATAATGTTGAGAGCATCATCAAATCCCGCACAGCCACCTTCCAGGAGGCCCCAGTTCTCCATGACTCATCGGAGTCTGTGCTGAAATGTGCGCATCAGGGCTAACGCGTGTTTAAGCTGCCTTGCCTCACCTGGGATGTTTAGACACAAAGACAACTCAGCCCAACACTTGCCTTTTTCAGTGGTAGCTGTGTTAATCACCCTCAGAAATCTAGGTTTAGGTCAAGGGAAAAAGAAAAGAAAAACCTCTAATAGGGAAGATAGCAGAGCCATGCAGCAGATGATCTGTGCAGAAGCTGGAGGTTCCAGCATTGCGAGTTTTTGGTTGGATCTTGTTCTACCTTTCTTTTTGCCACTAAAAAAGAAATTCAAACATCAAAAGCTTCACTGAAGAAATGTGTGATCAAGATCCTCTGAAATTCTGTCTTTGATTAATTACATAGGCTGAGTGCTGAAAAAAAAAACCCAACCCCTCTCCAAGGTGTGTTTTCAAGTTCTGGCTCTGCACATCAGGAGCTCCTGACTGCCAGCATTAATTCTCTGTAAAGTCCAGCAAATAAAAGCGGCCTTTGGCTTTTGTGAGGCACTTTTCATCGATGGACTTCAGAAGTGCTTCACTACAAACCTGATCTGTGCTGCTGTTGTCACTGTTGACAAGAATCTGCGGCGCCGGGAAGTTCCAAATGCAGGAAGATATCGAATGGGAGATGTCCACGGCAGCGTAAAAACCTGCTGCCACGCGGCTGAGCCGCAGGACCAGACCCTGTGTGAGCTCTTGGCCATTCCGAACCGTAAGGTGGTTTGGTGCAGCCATGTAAATGAAAAGCTGGCGCTGTCAGCTAACACTTGGAGAGCTGAGCTCAGATTTCCTAAAGGCTAGATAAATGTGCTAATAGCCCGATCACTCTGTCTGAGAAGGAAGCCGTCAACTTTGTGGTGTGTCCCTCGTATTTAGCCTGCTGCAATTTCTCATCTGGGTGGAGCAATCAAAGAGCCTCTTCGGGGATCTGCAAGCCTTCTGCCCAGCGCTCGCATACCGACCGCGCTCTGGCTGTCTGCAATTTGAGTTTCACCTAAATCTGTTAGTCTCCATTAAAAATCTCAGCCTCCCTGGTTGACTTCCGTGCAGATCATCCAACGTTACGGCTGTGCGGGTCAGCAGATGTTTTGCAGCACCTCCTAGAAGGACGTCACGGCTCACGTCTTCCTAAGCACGACGGCGACGCCAAGTGCTCAATTCCTAGGAAGACCCACTGGCTAAAACAATGAATAGGGCCACACTTGAGCCCGCTCTCCCCCTTGCCCAAGCCCCCTGAGGTCACAGGGAATATTTCTTCAGGGAAAGCGTCCACATTTTAAAGTCCTGTTGCACCGAGGTGTCTCCCAGTAACGTTCCTCCTTGCAGGCTCCATTCAGATGGATCTCAACAGGATGCCCAAACCTGCCAAGACCGCCGAGAAGTGCTCCTCAGAGCTGGTAGATGAGACCTTGTCTTCAGGGCGCTTCGTGTCACTCTTTGAGCAGAAAACTGTCAAGGGATGGTGGCCCTGTGTTGCTGAGCAGGATCAGAAGAAGATCCTGGCGGTAAGGTGGCCTCTTCATGTGTTCTCTTGGGGGACTCTCAGAGCATTGGGGAAGGATGTGGCTGGGCCAGGTTGGCGCAGGAAGCCAAGCTCGGGGCAAGCGTTGCTGCCTTGGGCTGCAAATTTTACAAACTGGACCAGCTTTTGTCAGCTGGACGTTTGCCAGGATTTGTCCAGCACCATGCAAAGGCCTCAGAAGAAATCGTTTGTTCTGTGGGATTTTTGCTGTGTTTTTTGGAACATGCCACCTAATTTGACTCTGTATCACATCTATTCTTAACGATGTTGTGTTGCGACAAGTACCAGGGAAAGGTTCCAGCTGTCAGACTGATGTATTTAAATGTAAGTGTCTGGGCTCCTGTTCAACTGTTCAAGTCCTTGGCGACTGTTCAACATAGGTAAGGGAGGCCAGGAAGGGAATTAAGTCGTTCAGCAAAAGACCCCTGAGTTGGTTGCCTGAACTTGGGTGTCAGAGACATTTAAGATGTCCTGGGGTATCTGCTGAGAACACTGTAGTGAGCAGGTGAGGGATTTGTCTGAAATCTGCTCTTACTGGGGTCCTCATGGTCCTTGTTGGTAGTGGTTGGGTTACACTCAAAGTAGCTTTTCTTTCCCCAATTTTTCATCATATGTTTTTTTTTTTTTTTT